GCCGGGAGCGCGGGAAGAGCCGCGGGCGGGCGCCCCACCCCACCGGCCCCGCTGACCTCGCGACCCCACCGCGGCGCCCCGAGGCCCCGCGGGTTCCTCGGCAAGCCGTGCTTTCGGGATCTGCCAGCATTCCGTCTGTTCCTGAGCTTCCTGTCCTTACGGGGAAAAGTCCCCGCGTGCAAACAAGTGACACAGACTTTCTTCTCCCAACTCCGAGGTGCGGGCGCAGGGCGGGCGTTCTTTTCCTGGTGCCTGGCCGCTGCTGCTCCGTGGTGACAGCCACGTGGCCGCCGAGTGCGGCAGACGGCGCCCCGCGGCTCCCCAGCTGCGGCTCTGAGCGAGCCGGGCTTTGCCCCGCCGTGGAGTCTCGCATTCGGACCGGTTCCTTGTAAGGTGGGGAAGTGGGGAAGCTGAGCCGTTCGCGTTTCTTTCCCGTCTTGGTAAGGTGGATTTTTTGCGTCCTCTACCGTTTTGATGATTCATCCTTAAAATCTCAGCAGTGTTAGGTATGGTCAAAGAGCGTTTGGGGAATAATAGATTATGGAATCACTCTCCCCCCTTAGAAAGTAATTTGAATTTCAAAACCGTTAATGAGAGGTTTTAATACAGGAAAACCAGAAACACATCTGGTGCATTTCTTTTTGAGTTTTAGAAAAATCTATAAAATTGTGACCGGAAAATTCGTAGATTACCACTGAGAATACTTTGTTAGGGATAAATTAAATGCTAGTTTGATTTTCATATGTGCACTTTCTTACGTTTTTTAAAGCATTAGCAGTTATTATTGGATGTCAATATGGACAAGTTTGATTGAAAATAATTAAATTTAATGTTTAGAATATATAAATGTGAAACTCAAGAAAGGAAAATAAACTTCTGGAGAGTTTAGGAAATTGTAGAATTTAAATACAATCCTTGATTATTAACGCATGTTTTATTTTGTAAATGCTTTGGTAGATTTGAATGAGTTGTGTAATACAAGTTTTTATTTGAATCCATTGTACTTGAAGAATGCTAAACCAGAAGAAACTGCTGACATCTGTAAAAGAAGTATGTGCAGTCAAACAGCACCATTTATTAGAATTTTTATAACTGTTCAGTCACAAGTTAGTAGAGAATGGTGTTGAAGAGGTACTTTAGGCTTCAGAAGATATAGTTGAAAAATGTGTGTGCTGAGTTCTGAGTAGTGCTTAGTTGAGAAAGAAAAGCAAATGAGGTAACAAAATATATAAAAGTAAGAAGCACTAAAAACATACTGCAAGATAACTCATTTAACATGAGCAGGTATGGGATCTGTCAGAGTGAAACTTTTTTTTTTTTTTTTTGGCGCAACCAGGGATTGAACTCAAGCCTTTGTGCTTGCCAGGGAAGCGATTAGTCCACTGAGCCATCTCCCTGGCCTCCTCAGATTAAAACTTTAAAATGTGCCACTCAAACGGGACTTAATGATCCAGTAGCATAATGCTTAGATATTCTGTGTGTGTGTGTGTGTGTGTGTGTATGATTAAGTTGAGCAAGCAGGAACTGTAAGGGTCAGAAGGAGACCTACAAGCCTGAGTAGACAGAAGAGAATTGTTGTAGAGTGACGCTCTTACTGTAGAGCCTTTGTGTTTCCCCATTAACCTTGCTGTAGATGAGACCACTCAAGTGACCCTACCCCTCTCCGTATCAAGCGTGAATGCTACATTTCTCAAGACCCTTTAAATTTTGGTTCTTGTCTTTTCCCACCTTAGTTTTCCACTGATTTACAGAAACTATCGTTCATTCACTGCCTCAGTGTGGTCTGGCAATTTTATTTCTTTACACCTGTGCTGTATATATCCTTTTCACTATGGAAGATATCTCAAGTGTGAGCCCTGGCTGGGCTTTAGAATTTTAGATCCACTTTCACATTTCCAACTGAAAATTCTTTCCCTTTTCTAAGTTGATAAGCTTTTTGGATTGTAACATTCTATACTACCTTGTTTGCATTTAGTGAATATTCTTATCTATATACTGTGTGCCAAGACCATGTTATAGGAACTGAGGATACAGTTTTGAACAAGAAAAAATCCCATATACTTTGATAGCTTTTTAGGTTTTATCACCCCAACTACATTATAAGGCCTTTGAATACTTAGAGGAGTCTTTCTCAAATACATGATATGTGCTTAGTAAAAGTTTTTCTTTCCTGAATAAGGAAAAGTAGGAGTTAGAGTGTGAAGTAGAGAGTTGGATGGAAAGTCTCTTCAAGTGAAGGGTGGAGCAGAATAACCAGTTATGGATGGCTTTGTAATACCACTGCTGAACCTTAATTTGATTTAGTACCAAAGTCTTTAAAAAGGACAAGCTGGGGGACAATAAAACTTTTCTTTGAGGAAGGTTCTCTGTACTGTACTCTACAGATTCATTGTGGAAATGGAGGAGAATTGGAAAGACCAGTAAGTGAGGGAGGCTTGGGAAGGCACTTGTTACTGAGAACACTGTTGAGATGAGCAAGAGATGTGACAGCAAAGGGGCCTGTGTCTAAATGCCACATTGTTTCTCTGCTGTGAGAAACTGAAAGTGCAAGTAAGGACTGATGTGTATAGTAGATCCTGGAAAATGGGAACAAAATATTCAAGTGAAAAGAGGAGCAAGGGAGGTGGGGAGGGAAAGGAAGGAAGGGACAAGAAAAAGGAGGAAAAAATGGAAACAAAGCTTTTTTAAATGGGGAGATGACTCAGTAGAATGAGTGCTTGCCTGGCAAGCACAAGGTCAAGGCCCTGAGTTCAATCCCTGGTACCTCAAAACAAAAAACAAAACAAAACAAATCCCCCCCCCAACTAAATAAGGGGAAAAAAGAAGCAGGATATATTATGTACAGGTACAAATTCCCTATGTGAGTGTTATCATTGTGTTTATCTAAAATGTACCAAGGGGGGAAAAAAACACTCAAAAAAAAAAAAAAAAAAAAAAGTAAACATGATCTACAGGCTGGGGAGATGGATGACTCAGTAGAATAAGTGCTTCCCTGGCAAGTGCAAGGGCCTGAGTTCAGTCTCTGGTTCTGCAAAAACAAAAACAAAAAAAAACCATGACCCATAGTCACCAGTGATCGAGGCATTGGGTAAGATGGGTGAGGGCTACTGTTAGGAAATTTTATTATCAGAGTTAATAGTTGAAGTTGAACTAAGATGATCCCTTGGGAAACTAGTACTTGAGGACATTCTAATCAGAGTGTAACAATACTGTAGACTTGTATAATACTTAAGTTATTGTTACATTAATATCCTTGTTTCTGCTGTGTAAGAATGTTATCCTTGTCTTCCATTAAATATAAAGGAACCAAAGAGAATGTTATTTACTTCCAAAAGATTTTGAATTCTTGTATTTCCTTTATGCTACTTTTTTTTTTTTTTTTTTTTTTTTAAACTTAAGATCATTTATTTTAGAATACGGTTGGGGAGGTTTGTTTTGCTTTGTTTTTTGTCTGTTTTAAGCCAGGGTCTCTAGTTCAGGCCAGCATTGAGCTCACTGTGTAGCCAAGGTTTGGCCTAGAACTCAGGATCTTCCTGCCATAGCTTCCCAGGTACCTTAACTTCCCAGAAGCTGGAACTAGTGGTTTGCACTGTGGCTTAGAATAGTTTTTATATTTACAGAAAAGTTAAAAGATAGTACATCTCACCCCATTTTCCCTATTGTTTGTTAGTTTTTTTTGTTTTTGTTTTGAGACTTTAGTTCAGGCTGGTCTTGAACTCACTGTGTAGCCCAGGATGGTTTTGAACTCAGTGATCCTCTAGTCTCAGCCTCCCAGTATTCCTTGAATAAACACAGCAATCCTACCACCTTACCCTTCCCAGTACTGAGACTGTGGACAGGTGTGGGCCACCACACCAGCTCCCCTAATGTCCTTTTCCATTCTAGAATTCTAGGTTTTTTTTTACTTTGTCTTGCTTTTGATGGCTGTCTTAAAAGTTTGCATGTATTAAAAGTTTTGCCTCATAATATTTCCGTGTGTGTGTGGCAGTGCCATTCAGAAACTTTTTCTGAAAAGTGTTTGAAAGAGGTGGTTGGGAAAAGGAAATTCATCAGGAATAAGACCCTGGGCTCTTCTTTGAGGGGCCATGATTATGGAAAAGGAAAGGAAGATTGAGCATATAAAGAAGGCAAGTTGAAAGTTTTGGAAGTGATGATGAACATTTTTGTGGAGAGAAGTCCCTTTGTACATACTAGGAGAGTAAAAGAATGCTGTTCTAACAATTGGAATGTTATTGATAACACAATACTAATGTTATTGGAAAATAAAATTTTTTGCTTCATTAAAGACTTCTTTGAATGAGGATTGCAACTAATTTTTTTTAGTAAACTAAATTTTAAACTACAAACCACTCTTGCTTTGAAATCTTACTGAAATTCTAAAAGCTTTAAAATTTATTCCACGTTGCTTTTTTATCTTTGTCTTTGTTCTTGTTATTTATTTCTTCTTTAAAACTTTCAAATTCACATACTACTGAGCAGAATTCAGCATCAGATTTTGATGTATACAGAGTTTATATTGAATCTTTGTAGTTATTTAGAGTTTTATCCTTAGAGGTAAAGAGATGAGGAAGTTGATAAAC